AAAAAAATATATATATATATATATATATAGAAAAAGACCACACTTATGATTTTGACAGTAATGAAGAGCTCTTGGCCTTCTATGATTTGTAAATATTGTAAATGTGTTATTGATACCTAAAATTTCTTGTACCTTGTATCTATTCTTGTGTTTTGTAATTATTTGTTACATAAAACATTTCTTGTATCATAGTATGTTAAAAATACTGAAATTCCTTTACAAGACAAAAAACAAGTACCCAAATATAAACAAATAAAAATTTGAATTAAAAAATTTAAAAAAAAAGCCTGATGAATCAATGCATTTATAATGGGGGTTGAAGTTTGATTTTAGAAGGGAAGTTTTAGAAAATTTAAAACATGTATTTATTTTCATGTGACTCTTTCCAGTGGATTCAAAGCACTTTAAAACGATTACTTATCAACTTGCCACGGAGATACCAGAAAAACAGCCATCTAATGACATCCTAGCTGATTTTCAGCTAAATAACAGTAACATGTCCATCATCTGTTGTGATTCTAGGAGAGCAGGTGGAAAGGTAATGAACTCATTTTTTTAACTTGCTATTTTTAAAAAATCAATTTGATCTAAAATTATAACAATTCTCATGAAGTTTGGTTACATGACACATTTAACAATTTGTCCCAAAAAATGGCCTTTTAACTGCTACTAGACTTTGTAACAATGTTTTGTTAAATGTTTAGTTAAAGGCTTTTTACTTTAAAATGTAATAGTTGCATATTAAAGAATATTTGAAACCCTTAGAAAATTAAAAGGGAGAAGCTTATCAAAAGTCCCAACTACTTCTCCCAAACACTAGTATTTCAGTATTTTTCTAGACTTGCACTACCCAATATGGTGGTAATATTATATATGACTATTTAAATTTAAATACATCAAAATCAAATACAATTAAAAATGTAATTCCGCAGTCACATAGCCCTTCCTTAAGTCCTAGAGAACTGCATGTGACTAGTGGCTGCCAAACTGCAGTGAACATCCAGAACATTTTTATTGTGATCAAAAGTTCTATTAGATAGCACTGTTCTGGACGTTTTTCTTCACATACGTTTTGGTTAATATATTTATAATTGTGTCATATATGTAATTTTTATCTCTTTTTAACCTAATTATAAAAAGAATTGTCCATGATCTTATATAGTTGACATTATTTTAATAGCTATGTCATTTTTCATATGCCACAGTTTATTTAACCATTCCTCTATTCTTGAACATACAGGTTATTAACAATTTTGGGGTATACTTGATAGCGTAGATAGTTTTTGAATATCTTTGTGTATAAGTACATTTCTTTGAAGTACAGTTCCTCAAAATAGATTCCCAAAAGTTAAATTACTAAGACCTAGTTTGTTTCTTTTGGGTGATACAAAATTTATGGGGTACTTCAATGTACAATGTTATAATTTAATAAAAATTAATTAATTTTTAAAAATAAAATAAGAAAAAATAAAGAAACCATCCCGGGCCAGCTAAAATCAACAATGACAACCGCAACAACAACAACAACAAAAATAACCGGGCATTGTGGCGGGAGCCTGTAGTTCTAGCTACTTGGGAGGCTGAGGCAAAAGAATCGCTTAAGCCCAAGAGTTTGAGGTTGCTGTGAGCTGTGACGTCAAAGCGCTCTACCAAGGGCAACATAATATTAGAGTCTGCCTCAAAAAAAATTAAAATATGGATATTCCCTGTACATGTCCATGCATGTACACTTAGAAATGTATGAGAACAAAAAGGGCACACAGGTAATTTTTGGAGGTGATAAAATTTATGGGGCATAGTTAAATTCAGATTCCAAACAGAAGCAAATCCAAATCCTCTCTGGAGGAAGGTCACTTACTCAACTTTCAAATTATTCCTGCAAACTGCTTCTCAAGTTCAATTACCAGCACCTAGTAAAAAATAACCAAAAACACAAGAAAACTTGATACCACAACTGAAAACCCATAGGAATAATACCTAATACAAAGAACCCTGTAGGCTCGGCGCCTGTAGCCTAGTGGTTATGGTGTCAGCCACATACACTGAGGCTGGTGAATTTGAACCCAACCCAGTCCAGCTAAACAACAATGACAACTGCAACAAAAAGTAGCCATGTGTTGTGGTGGGTGCCTGTAGTCCAAACTACTTGGGATGCTGAGGCAAGAGAATCACTTAAGCACAAGACTTTGAGGTTGCTGTGAGCTGTGACGCCACAGCACTCTACCGAGGGCAACATAGTAAGACTCTGTCTCAAAAAAAAAAGCCCTGTAAAGACTTTGGAAAATGAAATAATCTAACTGTGTTTATGAAAATAAAAGAACAGCTTGAAGATATATGGCAGTAACAAAAAACTGCAAAGTGATAGCAGATTCCATTACTAAAAGAAAAAAATTAACATATAGAGATGAAAATACAACTAAAATTAAAAAAGCAAAAGATGAGAGTTAAAAAGCAGGTTAGACCCAACTAAAGAGAAAACTAATGCCCAGAAAAAAGGTAAAAAATAAAATAAAATCAAAATTCACTATTAGGACAAAATTTGAAAAGGTAAGAAATACAGCAGATATTCTGTATAATACAGAAATAAAATGAAAAGCCTAAAATACAGTTTGTCCAAAAATCCCAGAAAAAAAGGGATGATCAGGCAGAGGTGATGGTAATTTGATGATCATTTTTCAGAACTAATAAAAAAGACCCAATCTGCAGATTTAAGAATTCCAGTGAACCCCAAGCAGTATGGAGAAAAAAAAAATCCTGGGTACATCATAATGAAACTATAGAAAACCAAAGACAAACAGCAACAACAGAAACTTAAAAGCAACAGATAAATACAAGTTCCGTTTACATTTAAAGGAGAATTTTTAGACTAGCAGATTACCTCCCAATAGCAACAGTGTAAGATCAAAGGCAGTGGATTGTCTTCAGTGTGTTGAAAGAAAGTAATCGCCAATTTAGAACTAACCCAGTTAAAAAAATCTTGCAAGAAAGTGTGGAAAAAAATACATTTTCTGAAGAAAATAGAGTTTGTGGCTAGCCGCCCTTCATTAAAGGGAAATTCTTAGGAGTATTCTTGGGTAGTTAGTCTGAGATTTGAGAAAACTGAAGAACAAAGAAAATGATAAATAGTATACATGAATAAACCTTAAAGTTGGCTGATAAAACAGTAATGATAATGGTTTGTGTAGTTTCAAAAGATGGAATAGAATAAAAATACATGACGACAACAGGACATAAATTGGGAAGCAGGCTAAATGCAATTACAATGTTCTAAAGTACTTGGTTCAGGAGAAGGGCAGATAAATACATTAACATCAGCCTTGGATAAATTAAGTTTGCTTGTTAAAATTTCTAGGACAGCCAGAAAAATAGTAGAAACAGATGGTATAACTTACGGGCTAGGAGAGGCAGAAGAAAAAATAGAATGATTTGTTTTAAATACCTCCAAATGACAAGAAAGGATGCGGGAAAAAATACATAACAAGGAATGTCAGTAGTTAAATGTAAATAGATGAATACTTCAGTTCATAGACAGAGACTATCGGATTAGATTTTTTGATTAATAAAAAGAAAATATTTCTACTATGTACTGTTTACAAGAGACACATCTAAATAAGACACAAAGATTAAATATAATAAATTGAAATATAAAGATAAAAATGTTAAAGTGATATGTCATGAAAATATTAACTAAAAGATTAGTTGAGGCTCGCTACCTGTGGCTCAAGCACCTAAGGCACCAGCCACATACACCTGAGCTGGCGGGTTGGAATCCAGGCCGGGCCTGCCAAACTACAATGACGGCTGCAACCAAAAAAAAAAAGAAATAGCCAGGCATTGTAGCAGGTGCCTGTAGTCCCAGGTACTTGGGAGGCAGAGGCAGGAGAATCCCTTGAGCCCAGGAGTTGGAGGTTGCTGTGAGCTGTGATGCCACAGCACTCTACCCAGGGCGATAGCTTCAGGCTCTGTCTCAAAAAAAGGATTAGTTGATATATAAATATATATAGATATTTATATATGTATAAAGTTAGTATTTAAAATATAAAGATTTTTATATCTTTTACCTATATCAGTTAAAAGCATTATTAGAGATAAAAGGATACTTTTTAATGATAAAACTTCAGTCTAACAGCAAGATATAACATTATAAAATATTTTCCCCTATTAACACAACCTCAAAAATATATAAAGCAAAATTTCACATAAGTAAAAGGAGAAATAAATCCATCATCATTGAGAGATGATACTTGAGCCCACCTCTTTCAACACTGAGAGGACAAGAAGACAAAAAAAGGAGGCGGTGATACTACAGCACCTTTGAATAATCGAAGAAAGTTGATCCAAGTTTTGGAAGAGTAAATACTTTAAAGATGACATTGTTTCTGGAGTGAGCTATCCATTTAATACCATCTCAATCAAATTCTCACAGGATCGTTACTTTATGTGTCTTGGGGATAGGGATGTCTTGACAAGTTGATTCTAAAATTTATGTGGCAGTTTAAAGAATCTAGAATAGCCAAACCACTCTTCAAGAAGGGAGGGGCTAGAGAAAGAAGAGAGAATGTGCTCTACCAGGTATTAAGATCTATCAAGTTTGCTTGTTAAATATGACAATGGGGACAGTGTAGGGCTGGTGCAGGATAAACACAGCAATCCATACTGAGAATAAACCGCCTAGAATCAGGCTTATACGCACGTGAGCGAGCGTCTGATTTGTGGCAGCAGAGGCATTGCACAATAATAGAGAAAGGATAATTTTTTAAATACACAATGCTAGGACACTTGAAGATCCATGTTTTTTTAAAAATAAAAGTGGAATCATTACCTCACACCAAATGTAAAAATCCATTTCAGGTGGATTAAAGACCTAAATGTGAAATGCAAAACGACAAAGACTTTTTAATATTGGTAAATGGCTTTATGGCCTCGGGTTAGGGAAAGAGTCACTTAAGAAGTGGCAAAAGCAGTATTCATGAGGGATTTTTTTTTTTTTCAGACAGAGTCTCACTCACTTTCTCACCCCCGGTAGAGTGCTATGGTGTGATAGCTCACAGCAACCTCAAACTCTGAGACTCAAGTGATCTTCTTGCCTCAGTTTTTCATTTTTAGTGGAGATTAGGGTCTCGCTCTTGCTCAGGCTGGTCTCGAACTCATGATCAAGCAATCCACCTGCCTCGGCCTCCCACAGTGCTGGGACTACAGGCTTCATAAGGGATTTCATAAATTGAAATTTGTGAAGTTTATTAACATGAAAAAAATGTTAGCCTAATAGAAAAATGGGCCAAAACAATTTGAACAGATGCTCCTCAAAGGGGAAAAATTAAATGGTCAACAAACACACGGAAAGGTGCTCAACCTCATGAGGAAACTACAACCAGAGAGATCAGTATCCCAGGCATATTTTTAAAAAATATAAAATCTGAGCTTGGCACCTGTGGCTCAAGTGGCTGGGGTGCCAGCCACATACACCTAAGGTGGCAGGTTCGAATCCAGCCTGGGCCTGCCAAACAACAATGATGGCTGCAACCAAAAAATAGCCGGTCATTGTGGTGGGCACCTGTGGTCCCAGCTACGTGGGAGGTGGAGGCAGGAGAGTCACTTGAGCCCAGGAGTTGGAGGTTGCTGTGAGCTGTGATGCCACAGCACTCTACCCAGGGCGACAGCTTCAGGCTCTGTCTCTCTCTCTCTCTCTCTCTCTCTCTATATATATATATATAGATATATATATATATATATATATAAATAAAATCTGACAGAACTGAGCTTTAGAAAGGATACAGAGCAACATTAACTATCATTTGCCTCTAACAGGAGTGAGAATTGGCACAACCTGGAAATTATTTTGGCATTATCTAGTAAGGTGGAAGATGGGAATATCTGGGGATCCAGGAATTCTACCTCTCTGTATAATATTCAAGAGGAACTTGGTACCACCATACATGTATAAGAATGTTCATAGTATCATTTTCTGTTATAGTCAAAAGAGGGAGCAACCCAAATTTCCATTAACAATTGAATGAATACATGAATAGTGATAAACTCATACAATGGAGTATTATACATACATGAAAATTCTTGCACTATAGCTACACAGTAGGAAGTGTGTGAATCTTAAAAACAATGTTGACAGAAAGAAACAAAACATAAAAAGTACATATGATTTCACTTATATAAAATCTAAAAGTAGGAAAATTAAACTATAATATTTATAAATTATAAAAGTGCACAGAAAAGCAGAGAAATTGCTATGAAATCAGACTACCATTTCTGTCCAAGACATTGGGATGTTGACATTGGGATGGACACAGTGGGACAGATGCTTCTAGAATGTCATCGTTGTTTAATTTCTTGATCTGGATGGTGATTACATGGGTGTTTGTTTTATAATTACTAATTGATGAAACAGCATGTTTTAATGATATCTGAATGTATTCCATATTTTGTTATTTTTAGAAGTGAAAAGATGGATTAGCTTTCAAAATAAGTGGCAACATTTATAAGAACGTTTAGATCATTTCATTATTTAGCCCTAGGATCGCCTATCTTTTTTTAGTGCAATTCAAGATTAGTAATAAATAGAATCAAATTGACTCTTCGGTTTATGATGAAATATTGTAGGGTTAAAACTCATTTCCCTGTTGAGCTTTGCGTATAAGATAGCTGAATTTAGAGACATAATAACATCTCCCTGTACGTCTTT